TCAAAAAATGGTCTTATCTGCCACCGACACAGATACTAGGTATCTGATCGCAACATCCCTAAGTAAAATGGTTTTTTTTTTGTCCAAATGTAGGATTTAGTGATCCTAAGACTTATTGAAGAGAATGAAGAAAAGGGTAGTTTATTTGTGTTTCATTATAAATTGTGTTTTTTGTACAAATACAACATGAAGACAAAGATAACACAAAAAGTACATTATATTAGGAAGACAAAGTGCCACTAGTGTTAATGAAAAAAATAAAATAAAATACCAGCCCTACTATACCACTTGAACAATGCAATGAAATAAAATCCAAAACAATAAAAACATCACAATAACATTACTGTGAATGTGACTATGAATAATAGGAAAAGACTGTATTGCATACTTACTTTTGCCACAAAAAATATTCTGGTGCAGTGGACCAGTGCAAAAGGGCCGACGGGAAAAGACTGGCAAAGGTTACTGCAATAATGTCATTAGAATATTTTACATGCATTTTAAATAAGACAGATTTTTTTCTTTATGTGAAGCCTGAAATTTCAGCCATTATCCTTTACGGAGTTAATATACTTTACCTGCTTATATAAAATTAACCTATTCTCTATATACTGTATTTTATTTATTTATTTTTGTATTTCTTTTACTTTTATCTCTCTCTCTTTATTTAATTTTGTTGTTTGTCTATTTATTTGAGTTGTGTTGTAAAGTTCTAAAAGTCCAATTAAAAAAATTATTACGATGACACATTGGTAATAAAAACATCTTGTGGCCTTTGACATGAAGCAGGAGATTAAACCACCCATAGGAGGGGGTTGAGGGACCTCTAGGCTACTGAGGGCTTCTTTTTTATGTCACTTCTTAAAAATGGTCTCCATGGAGGGAAATGAAACCTTTAAACTAAATTTTAATCTCCTGAAGTATGCATTTGAAATGAAGATGGACAGACTTGAAACCTTTTTTCTTTCCATTTTATAATTCTGATTTATCTTCCTGCCTTTCTAGACCAGAATATTGGGGGCTGTAGCCTCAAAGTTCCTCTGAACAAATACCGATCTAACCTGCAGAATTACACAAACTAAACTGAGAAGGGTTTTAGACTCATTTAAGATGCCCACAACATTTCTGTGACTATCTTGAGAGGACATTTGTTGCACAAAGCCTCCATCACAAATGCCATCTGCCAACTAGGGCTGCCACGATTAATCGATTAATCGACGACTAATCGATTATTAAAATAATCGATGACTAATTTAATAATCGATTAATTGTTTTCTTCTTTTTTTGTTGTCCTTTACTTTGTTTTTCTCTCCAAACTGCTTTGACACCTTCCACTGCCACATCTGCCTTTCTGTCCTTGACACGCATGCACAGTAGTGGTAACTGTGATAGGCCGTGGACGTCACAAGACATTATACAGACAGGCTCTAGTGTCATGGCTACCCAGCAACGGAGCTCAAAAGTGTGGGATCATTTTAAGAAAACTAAAGAGAAACCTGTGCAACATCTGCAAGGCAGAACTTGCCTTCCACAGCAATTATTTTTAGCTAGCATATAGCTAAAATCTAACGATGGTTATATAATAGCAGCTGCATTCTGGCGTGATAAGCTGTATGTTTTATATTCAATTAACGTATGATCCGATTAGTCGACTAATCGAAAAAGTGTCCTGATGCAGCTCAGTAATCCAGGTAAAAAATCAAAAAGAAAAAAATTGTATAGGTCTTCTGGATGGGTTCTTCTCTAATGAAACGTTTCGTCTCTCCTCCAAGAGACTTCTTCAGTCTGAGAGTTTCAGGCTAAATTCAGGCTTTTAAGCACTGCCTCCATGTGACATGGAGGCAGTGCTTAAAAAAAGGCAAAATTCAGGCTTTTAAGCACTGCCTCCATGTCACATGCAGTGCTTAAAAGCCTGAATTTTGCCTGAAACTCTCAGACTGAAGAAGTCTCTTGGAGGAGAGACGAAACGTTTCATTAGAGAAGAACCCGTCCAGAAGACCTATACAATTTTTTTCTTTTTAATCGAAAAAATAATCTGTGATTAATCGATTATAAAAATAATCGTTTGTGGCAGCCCTACTGCCAACATGTTGCATCCCATTAAGATTGTAATTTAACACTTTGTTTTAAGTTTTTTTCTTATCTTTCTTATAGAGTTGCAGTAATGCCACAACAATAAGATATCTGGACAGTTCAGAATATTGCAGTAAACATTATCTGTCTACCGCTCCAAGCTTAACTTCAAGTCAACAGAAATGCTCAGCAAAACGGAGATTTTAGGTGTAAAAGTGGAATACTTCTTTATATAACATTTTAATGTAACATCTTAATAAAATCAAGTAAGAAAATAATGACGCCATAGTCAGAATCCCTTAGTAATAATGAAATGTTTCTGGGAATTCATCTTACAGTGAAAAGAAATCCTTATTTACATTATGCACTGTGGTACCACTAATGTGATGTAACCCGGTCTACTACGACATGTTTGTGCCTGGAATACTAAATTTAATAGTGCAGAGCTGGAATATAAAATCTCTGCCTCTCAAACACATTTTATTTTTCTTCTCGTAGCTCGAGATTTTTCTTTTTTTTGTGTCTTTGTGTGCTGGTTTTATTTGAACAGACCAATCAAATCCAAACAAAAGCTTCAAGATGGCACAGAGTAAACCCTATAAACAGGAAAAATGAGTCTCACAATGTGTTATTACATGAAAAATCTTCATTGTGTCTTTTAAAAAATGGCTTCTGCATTACTTGTTTTGTAATTTTCTTTTGGAGGTGCTTCTGAATGATCTGCTGTCGTTGCAGCACAGGCTGGTAAGGAGTTTGAATAACTGGTGGCACACACGTGCCGCCATAATGAGACAGATTTGGACGGATTAGGCACCAAGTGGTGATGAAAAACGGCGGCCAACGTGTCAGCCCTCGGCAGCGGGGAGAGATCCAGCCTGTAGCTTCACGGCCTGCCTGCCTGTGCTGCCCTTCGCAGCTTTCTGGCACTTTGCTGCGTCGAGCTTCAGGAGAGCTTATAGATTCTGTCGCCGCTTTAGATCATCTGCCGTCCGTCTCCACGTGAAATGTTTGGCTCGACAGTCTGTCTTCAAAGGGAGAAAAAATATTTGAAATTTAACAGTACTGAAATTGGGATTTCTAGAGATCTTCCTTTATTAAATTTTTTATTTTACGAGCACGCTCTCTCCGTTTCTGCCTTCCTTCCTCTCACACGTTCTAGCTTCCTGTGTGATTTTAACGCCTACTGTGAGCCCAGATGCCCGACACTCCAGGATCACATAAGCTCTTACTTTGTAGTTTCTTGCCAAATGTTGGGGCTTTCCTGGCAGCGCTCGCTCTCAGACTGTCGCAGGTCGTTCTGAACCCACTGTGTCCACGTTTGTTCTTAACCCTCGGCAAATTGAAAAAAGACACAAAAAGATTTTTTAAAATATAAAGCAGGGGATGAATATTACTCTCAAAGAAATCTTTGATTATACATCTAAAACTTGTTAAAATTTGGAGTCAACCCCAGGGGTGGAAATTAGCACCTGTCACTCGCCAAATGCAGGTAAATAAATGAAGTGTGTAAATTTGAACAATGCACAAGCTACCGTAGCGGGTTTGCAATTTGAACTAAAAAAAAATTGAGTTCAATTTGTGTTGCTGACCTGTCAGGAGCAGCAATTTGTCTGAGCGCTGACTGCTAGCTTAATCATTAAAAATAATAGGACTTTAAGAAATTATTTGTATTTCATGTGTTATATTATTGCATTTGGTGCTCAGATAGATTTTCATTTTGGCTCACTTGGGGAAAAGGTTTGTGCATCCCTGTTTTACACAATTTATGCAAACTTATGATTTTTTTATGTGTAAATTATTTATAGAAGTTATATATTTAATTAATTTGTTAGCATTACAGTATGTATACACCTAAAAGAGGCTTCCAGATGTTTAAAATTCCATCTTCAATATAAATTTGTTTAAAATTTTTAAAAGTTGTTATAAGTTGTGTAAGACGTTACAGTGTGACAAGGCCTTTAGCAACGTGGCACTTCTGGAGTTAAGGACAGCAGATAATAGAAACGGTTCTCGAGGAATGAAAGGAAGAACTGAAAATTAAACTTTCTTTTTTCCAAAAAATGGAAAAGAATTGAAGATCCTGAGTTTTGCGACTGATCGTTGGAGAAAATTTTTAATTTCCACCCCTGGTCAGCCTAATTCAAGATGGCCGCCGCAGCTTATTGACCTTATCCAACAATAAAATGGGTTTTTACTATTTTACGGATATCGAGCTTAATTGGGTGTGAGGGTTGCTGATAATAACAAATCAGACAATCCTAATATCCCATGAAATTACAACGTTCACAAGGTTTGACCAAAAAACAGCTATAACTCCGCCCCTTTTCATCATACGTTGATCCTAGTTTAAAGCTCTGGCATGAAAGGTGGCAGGCGTTCAGCGTTCCTTCAACAAATACTAGAGATTTAATTTTTATTTATTTCAAAAGCCCATTTCTGCGGCACTTCTTTTGCCTTTCTTGTTCCCAGCAGCTCCGGGATTTGCGTTTTCCAAATCTGAAGACTCCTCTCAGTGAGACACAGTCCCTCGACAAATAAACAACAGATGCTCAAATGTCTTCTTTGACTCATGCTTGATCTTCAGCATCGTGTGTCTTTTTCATACACTTCAGCAGCGCTGCAGTGTGCAGCACTGATTTTTGTTTTCAAAGCAAAGTGTGATGTAATAAGTCAGTGATCCTGTGTAGCTCTGTAGGTGGACCAGGAACTGTTGGACTTCTTTGTTGACGAATCAAAGCAATTCAGACACTGAAAATATGCCTGTTTGTTTGCGACTATGTTTTGCTTTAAGTACTCTGAATCCACTTAAATAGATGTAATTCAGGTATGTTTTCTTGTGTCTTTATGTACAGTAATGACATAAAAACCTGAAAGAATTCCTTCGTTTACTGAAAGTAAAGCAACCTTTTTCATCTCTGTCTGCACAGGCGACCAAAGAGCTGAAACAGTACGACAACAAGATCATCGAGTGCTCCTTTGCCAACAACAGCTGGGTGTTCATGAGGCAACGAGTGGACAAAAGCTTCCCTAACTCCTACACCACAGCCATGGGTGAGGCTTTGTTCTTCCCTCTCAGACAGATATGTATTAATATTTCACCATGCCAGCTATCTGCGTCTGAATCAAAGTGAAAAACGAGCAGTCAGCCTGCGATTAATGGCCCTTATTTTATCTGTGTTAGAAATCAGCCTTGTCTCTCTTAGATGTGTGCTTCGTGAGATTGCGTGTGTGTGTTTCATGTGTGTAGGGGCAGATGTTCTGTTGTGTAAGAATGCACTCAAACAATCTGGTCTCGTACTCATTGCTCAGGACAAACTGTCTTCGTTGCGTCCTGTGTTTGAGTAGAAAAACTGACAAGAAGCTACAAAAATGAAAAGTCACTCTTTAGGTAAAAACTGATGTGAGTAGTCATCCAGGATGCTTTATTTCCTGAAAAAAAAACAAGGAAACTAAATCAAAATGACTGTTTTAAAATAGAGGTTTACCTGACAATTAGATCTGATAATGGTGCACGCTACGCAGCACGGATGTCACTTAATAATCGGTTATTTATAGTTTATCATCTGTTTTTCTGTTTACTGCACAAAGGTGGGGCAGGAAGGGAACTTAAGCTTCCATTTTTCAGTGCAACTACCTTCACGATTAGGTGACAACTTTAATAATTCACTCAGCTTTTTGAGAAAGCAAAAACCAAACTTAGCTTGTAATTTCACCCTTCTTACAAAATCTTTATAAATAAACCGATTTGCACTTCTCATTCAAAATATCCTGCGAATAAATGATTGTTTTTGTACCCTACATTCATATAATCCTCGCACAAATAGCTTTATGATGAGCTATATAACTTAAACATGGGTAAAACCTTGCCTTCTTTGATGTGGAGACCAGTGAGACCATCCTCCGGACCTCCTGCTGTCTCTTTGTGACAGCAGCGACAGAAAGATGAAGACGCAGAGATGAGTGATGACACACACTTGGCAGGCCGTTTATTAACTCGAGCTTTAGATAATCATTAATCTGGGCTGTTGTCTGTCAGATGTATGTCTTCAGACATGCTGCCTAAATGGATCAAAAATCCAACTTTCACTCTGGAATGTGGAGTAAAGAGTCACCTGTCACCATAAACCTCTCTTTGTTGTGTGAATTCAAAAGTGTAAAGTTCAAAACTCAGCTGTTATTTTGTCTTTTAAACCACAAAAAGGATGGACTTGAGATACATGTCGATTCTCTGCACAGCCCTTTAAATAATAAGAGAATCATCTTTTTTTTATTCTAGTGTAAGTAAATCTACCACAGAAAAAAACATATAGCTCAAATTTATGAACCTGTGAGTTCAGACAGACTTAACTTTACAAAACAAAGAGTCCTACTATAAACCAGAGCACAGTAAATGATTCTAGTTCTAATATAATAAACATGGCCTCATTTATGTATTTGTATGATAATTATTACCATTTGACTTGGATCATAGGAATGTGTTTGTAAATGAGGTCACTTGTCATAACAAACCGACAAACATCTGTGAAGTTTTACAAAGCTTTTGTCTTTAGTTTTATGATCTGTAACTTCTGTTAGTCTTCCCACGCTCAGCATTGTATAAACCCTCTGTTTATTTTACATTATGGGACATTCACTATTTACAATAAAGAGACAAAACATGGATGAAAGTGCTCTCTGTTACCTTGGCTCGGGTTGTTGTGCAGTTTAAGAAACATTCTAAATGTTTAGAACTCATAAGTTGCGCTGTAATAATAATAATGCATCATTTATAATTGGTAATGTTTTTTAGCTGATGATTTTTGTCCTAAAAAGAGTAAAAAAGGTGTGTGGGGGGGGCTAATTTCACGCTTCATTTCAAGAAGAAATAAGTGATTAACTCTGTTTACTTTAGTGAAGTATCTTCATATACAGTCCTAAATGATAGAGTCCTGCTATATTAAAGTTTAGAGGAAGAAAATGTACAAAAACAGAGCAAGTTGTAGAGAATGCTGCTTAGCACTTTGATTAGTTTTTTTTAATCTAAATATTTGTCTCGGATGGCTGCACTCAGGCACATCATAAAAGCTGAAAATTAAGAAATAACGTGAGGAAAAATGCATTAAAGTAAACCGTAAAGAACCGTATTGATTGAAGATGATGGGAAAGATAGTTTTGCTTTAGATTTGGCAGTCTCAGAATCCAGATCACAAATGTATCTTTAATCTAAAATCTTGTCTGAAAGCAGAGCAGATAACACGTTGTTCCATTTAGCAACTGCAAATAATCATTAATGTGTTGTTGGTACCGTGGCACGGTCATGAATGTGCCAAGGGAGCTGTGAAGTAGGATGAGCTATTTTCAGCACCCCTTGGTTCCTGGAAATAAAATCCAACTCATTTATCTACACAGAATGTGAAGTGACCAAAAGGTTTGAGCAGTTCTGATGTGAGCTGTAGCTTGAGAGACACGTTTGAGCATAAAAAGTTTGCATCGTTAACATTTGAATTGAACTAATTTGTCTCTCACCAACTAAAATATACCACAGAAACTCTACAGGACAGAAAAGACCAGAAACTGTATTTTTTATTATTATTATTATTTTAGAGTTCACATTTTGAGCGTTATTCTGATCAACTAGAAGACCATTTCATAATTTAACTGTCAGCATTTCACATTTGCTTTCGCTGTCAATTTATCAAATACAAAAAATCGTTTTCCTCTTAAAAAAAGAATAACGAGTGGCTATTGTTAACAACATTTAAAATTGTCCAGTTTTTCAAACATTTAGAAAAATTCACACATCTGGAGCTGTTTTTAAACAGCTCTTTTTAGGCGTGTTACAGAAACTCTTCACCAAGTTTGAATTTTAGGTCTTTATTTGTTTCATGTCTTTAACTTTTAATGCCATAATATGGCATTAAAATTTTTGTTTTCTTGTACAAGAAAACAAAACAGTTCAAGCGTTTCTCATTAAAAAAAATTTTTGCTGTAAAGAACACCAATAAAGTTTCAAATTTTCTTTTTAATACAGTATATGCAATATCTGCTCTCTGAGTGAGGTTAAAATCCATTTATCTCCTAAGAAATAAATTTGCATACTCTGTATCTATTTTAACACTTAATTTGAAAGTCATGTCAAAAATGTTCCTCAAATGAAAAACCTCATTAAAGTACCTTTTTTTGCAATACTCTTGTTTTTTATTTTGATTTTTACTGTGCTTACTTGTTGTTTTATATTAGTTGCTGAGCAGAATTGGTTTGAATCAACTGCAAACATTATAGGTTTTAACATATTAGTTTCATTAACATTTTTTAAAGTATAAATAACTTGGGTCTCAGTATTAGGCCTTGTGGAACACCACTTCTGATTGTGTTTGATTGGAGGCTGTGTTCTTGATATTTCCGTACTGACCAGTTTTATAGTTACCACTTGCAGGGAAGATAAAAAAGGATGAGGTTTGCTCGTGTTAGCAGGTCAATTTGGTGTTTTAGTCTAAACAAAACATTATTTTGGTGTGGCTGGAAAATCCTCTCAGCATCTGTGTTGACTTCCTTCCTCTTGTCTGCTCTTGTTTTTCTCTCTTTCTCTCTCTCCAGCTGTGTGTAAAAGCATCCAGGAACCGGTCACTAAGGAAATCCTCTTGGAGTTTTTGGACCACTGTGCTCAGGGAGTCAACGCACAGAACCGGAAACGCTCATCTGACCCAGACGCTCAGTTGATGCCCCCTCCCCCTCCCAAAAGACCCAACTGGGCCACCCCGTAGCCCACATCTACGTGACTCTGTGACTGCCCCCCAGTCCCACTGTACACCCTCATCACCAGCTCCAAACGCTCTGCAGAAAACAAACATTTCGGGCCTTTCTTACTGTACCACATCTGCTTTTTTTCCCAGCCTGTACATGTAAGGACCTCAGAGAAGTGTCTCAGTGTGACTCATTTGTAGACTTCTTTGTAGCTTGAATTGCTTGTGTTCTTATTAAAATGCTAAACTGGATGCTTAGGTAATTTTTTTTTATTGTTTTCCTATTTATTGTTTTTTAAAGTCTGAGCTAATTGCTATTCATTGAGAAGGACTGTGTTCTGGCTACAAGTAACACCTTGTAGACTTTGTTTACATTTTGTCAACTTAGTGCTTTAGTTTAATTTTAACGAGGAGTAAACATCATCAAAGCTTAATCTGCTGTCTTGGTGAGTTTCGTTTCCTCCGCCAGCGAAGATCTCAGTGATTAACACAAAGCTGCGTGGATCTGAGCTTTGCATTCAGTAAATTGAATTTATTATCAAGAAACACTCTGGGATGATGACGGTTTTTCAAAGCAACTACAAACAAGTGAAAACAATGAGCCCGAGCTGCAAATGTGGGTCTGATTTAAAGAAAAAATATATAAGTAAACACAAGTATCAACTTTATAATAATAATTTAGAGAAATGTGATTTTGTTTTATAACATTGTGATTACTGACAGGCAAACAGGGTTAACGAAGATAAATTTGTGTCACGTTACAATAATTGTATTTTGATCTAAACTGTCGTATGTGATGAGTCATGGTTCAGTTTCTTGGAGCAGGGAGGTTTTAAAGAGGTGTGTGTTGTGAACAGTATCAGTATTAAATCACTATATCTGGCAACACTGACGCCAGGTGATTGTTGGCTTTTAATGAGACTCGCAGCAGATAAAAGCAGTCGCTCACTTTGCATCCTTTTAACATCTGAATCCCTGAGAGTTCTGACGTGATTTTTTTTTTTTGTCTTTGCAGCCATATGAGCAGAAATCGGTCAAGTTTTAAAGACAGTGCTGATTAAAAAGGGCAGATGTACGTTTGATTGTCCTCTGCGCCCTCCTGAAGGGTCCTCCCACAGCAGTTTCCACCAGCTCTAATTGTCCCGCGCTTGACCTCTTATCTCCCTGCGAGGGCCACGCAAATGGAGATACCCCCCCAACACTGATATTAACCGGGATCGTCATCGCTCCTTTATTTCAGTCCCGATGGGAAATAAAAACCATGTGGCCAGGAAACATTTGGGTTTTTCTTTTCTAACCTGTCTTCTAACATGGGTGTTACCCTTTGGCAGGTTTATGACGTAAACACTGATCAACAATTACTGTACAATGCAGACAAAGTTCACAAGAAAATGCACAACTAAATAAATTCTGGCGTTCAAAGGGATTTTAAAGAAACATGAGAAAACTCCGACATCTTTGGAGCTCTGAAGATCAGATGTAGGTTATGTCTGAAATGACACTTTGATATTTTAACCTCCGCCAAGGGCGAGGTAATGTTTTTGGTCGCGAATGTCTGTCCGTCATTCTTTCGTTCTGTCTGTGGACAACATTACTCACAAACTTGTGGACGGATTGTCATGACATTTTTACCACATGTGGGTACCAGCTCAAGGAACACACCTTTAAATTTTGGTGATGTTCCGGATCACGATGCGGATACAGGAATTTTTTTTCTTTTAACACTGAGATCGGCAAAGCTGTGATGCTTTCACAGGGCGTGGGTTTCAAAGTGTCCAGCAGGTGGCACTGTAGTATTGGTGTGCCCCTTTGTAACTCTATTACAGGATGGGGGGAATTGGTCTTGGCGGAGGTTTGCGCTCTTCCGAGTGCTTCTAGTTTTATATTTTTTTACAAAGATGCTGTTTAAATTTTTGTATTTTTTTACGTTTTATTTTATTGAATGTTCAGCTGACAGTAGAGGATCACGCTGGAACTTTGGAAATATCTAAAAACCTTTTGCAAACTCTTTTTTACTCCCACAACTTTGTTTTGCAAATTGTACAAATTACACACACTGTAAAAAATGAAATGTTGGATTTACTTAACCATGTTATGTGACCTGGTTCCACTTAACTGAGTTGAGTAAATTCAAAGCAATATACCAGTTTTTTTAACCAAAAAACATGAGCATGTTGCTTTGAATTTACTCAACTCAGTTAAGTGGAACCAGGTCACATAACATGGTTAAGTAAATCCAACATTTCATTTTTGGAGTGCATGAAAACGTTGGTATTTTTCTCTTCTTTCGCTCACCGTGTGTCTCGCTGCTACCGGACTACCGGGTTCTGCTCGACGTATTTCCTACATAAAACACTGCAAGCTCATAAAACCTCACGCGTCCGACACGTCAGCTCACCGTTCAAGGATTTGTTAAGGTTTGGATTAACGTTTCTGCACAGCGGTTGTTTGTTCGAGGCTTAGATTTCAGTCTGATTCTTTCTGCCTTTCATCTCTGCAAACACAGGTGGTTACCAGGAAAAAATGCTGCTTTTTACCTTGGTTCTCTTTTTACACTCCCTACACAGCTCAGTCAATATGAGGACATTTTTTCTTAAAATATCATAAAATTATGTTGAGATTTTGGGCACCCTTTAAAATATCTTTATAAATGCTCTAGTTTGGTTTCTTAGGATTTTATAGTTTTCACTACAGAGTTGATTGAGTCATTGTTTCTTTCTATCCAGCTCAAGGTTGAACTTTCAGAAGGAATATTTTGCGGAGGTTTGTTTTGTGGAGGCTTTGCATGCGTCTCTGTGCCGCAGCGACGGCTTATTTTTAGGCTTGAAAGTCAGATTTTGTGTTTATTTTAAGATGAGGGTGAAGATAAGAGGTTAGTCGTGCAGCACGGGGAATTTAGATGAGGAGTTGAATGCATTTCAGTGAGCGTAAAGAAAAAAATAAAGATGTTTCTCTGTGAGTTCCTGTATGATGGTGCCTGAGGTGATCTTTCTACTTATAGCAGCGACGGATGATCTGCTCTCCCAGGGCTTGCTTCCCCCTCTGGCTGCACATGAAAGCCTGCTGATTTCCATCAAAGCCAAACTCACCTTTATGGTCACGGGTTCACCGCCATCGAGACGTCACCCCTCTCTCGTACGGCAGGTGGAGGATTCACACTGGCACACACCGTTTATATTTCCTCTCTCCAGCTTTCATCTGTTCGCCACCTGATGATGCCGACTGAAAACATTCGGTGTTTTCTGCATCGTTTTTCTCAGGGAAACCTGGACAAAGATGGCAACCTGAGCAAACACACGTGATAGATATTTTTAAACTTTTTGACCCTATTGCATTAATCAGTTGTATTAAATGTTTTTCTTGCTGCCATAATTTTCATCTCTGCAGCTTTGAGCTGCACTAACTGATAAGAAGCAAGCCTGTGATTGGTCAAGATGTTTTTCTCTGTGCTCTGTTTGTAATAAATTGTTCAGCTTTCCCCAGCCAAGGTCAGAACTTTCTGCTGAGACCTGTCTTTAGCGTCCTCAGAAACTTCTCACTCTTTGCAAAGAGAAAACTGTTTTAAACTGAATGCTTACAGCGGGTAACATAGGTATTGAACACGTCACCATTTTTCTCAGTAAATATATTACTAGAGGTGCTAATGACATGAAATGTTCACCAGATGTTGGTAACAACCCAAGTGATCCATACATACAAAGAAATCAAACCATAAATGTCCAGAAATGAAGTTATTTGTAATAATGTGGAATGGCACAGGGAAAAAGTATTGAACACATGAAGAAAGGGAGGTGTAAAAAGGCATGGAAAGCCAAGACACCAGCTGAACTCTCTCAGTAATTAGAAAACAAGCCTGCCCCTTGTCAGTGCAAATTTCAGTAGTGTGTTCAATACTTTTTCCCTGTGCCATTCCACATTATTACAAATAACTTCATTTCTGGACATTTATGGTTTGATTTCTTTGTATGTATGGATCACTTGGGTTGTTACCRACATCTGGTGAAAATTTCATGTCATTAGCACCTCTAGTAATATATTTACTGAGAAAAATGGTGACGTGTTCAATACTTATTTTACCTGCTGTATGCCTGTCTGGTTAATTTCTTTTTAAGGGGTAATTTAATGTCCAATCTGACAACGCTTATGAAAAGGCACATTCAGGCTCATCAGTAATGCCTTTCCTTCCTCTGGGAGCGTTTCAGCCCCGGAGTGGAGGAGCTCGTATGGTTCTGGAAATGTAAACACGCTCGGTGTCCTTGCAGAGAGCACAGGTGGTGCAGCCAAGATTATGAGGCTTACGCTCGGCTCAGGTGTTGGAGGTTGGAAGCGGCCTTGTTTCACTCCATTATTAGATCAACAAAGACAATTACCCGGCCGTTGTGGTATTAATATTATCTGCAATTTTGAATAATGCAGTTACGTGGCTCTCCCTATTCGATCAACGGGGCAGAAAGTGGCTTTTATTGGAGCTGAGGGCTCTTTGTGTGCCCACTGTTTGTTTGTTTTGCATTATATAGTCAGGTTCCGTTTATTTTTCTTATGAAATCTTTTCTTGGCCTTTCTTTTCCCTAATTGGTCATAAATCCACACTGTTCCATTAACCACAATTTACTGCAAGTAAACAAAAGTTCTGTGGACACTCAAAAAAAAAACGCTCCTTTTAACATTTTCATGCTGCCCAAACCATTAGTTTAAACAAAATCATATTTTTTTCTGAAATGAAAGTTACATTTGATTTAAAGTGAGGCTGTGTGGGCAAAAATATGAACAACTAATATCTTACCTGTTGTAGATAGCTCTTTGCGCAGCCTCCAATTAGAGAAACAGCTTATTTCTGACCTTATTGATGAGCTAACAGCTAATTCAAGTGGAGCCAAAACCAAAGTGGGTTTCTCCCACTTTGATATAAAAGTCCCGCCTACACTCGCTGTCAATCACAGCTTGTAACACGAGACTTTTCTTAAATCGTTGAGTAACAAAGTAAAACTAAACATATTTTTAAGGCATGATTAAACATTCAGCTGCAAAGTTAGAACTGTGTAAATAAAAAAATTAATAGCAGAAAAAAACCTGAAATTTCATCATTTTTATTTTCTAGTAAAAAATGATTGATTTACATAAAGGGGCGGGGCTTAAATTCTTGTACTGCAACCAGCATAGTTGGGGGAAATCGTTCGTTGTGGCTTCAGCTTCCAGCTTCTTTTCTTCTCTCTGGTTATATATCTAGTTGGTGTCTGCTCCACACCTTCTCTGTTTTGGCCTATTTTCACATCAGGCTTGTTTTAGAAAAACGTTTTTTCCTGAACATGTTCTTAAAGTGGGGGGTAATTCTACACCACAATCAAGTAACTATATTACCTTCAGTTGTTATAAAAATGCTGTAAATATCAAAAATAAAATTTCCTTTACCTCATAATCATATCTCAACAACTTTAAATTAGCCTCTGTCCCTTTAAGAACTTCCTACCGTTTCTGACACTCCCACTTCAGCAGGTCTTCACAACAAGGCTTCATGCTGGAGCATGAACATGAAGAACTGGAGTGAGGAGACATTTCAGCTTGGTCATTTATCTCCCAGTTAATGCTTTTTCCAAAGAAACTGGGGCGGAGACATGGCTGGGGACCCAGCTTTCTGGGAGGAGTTATGTGTAAATAGGCGGAGCTTTGTACCAGCAAGCATTTAGGCAGCTCCACATGGCTTCCACAGGGATTCCTCAGACATGCATGGATGAATCAAAGTAACACTCTGTGTATGTTTTTGATGAAGGAATAACATTAAAACATGAATGAAGCACTTCTGACAGGAATACCATCATAAATCACAACATTAGAGAATGTGCAGCCATTTTAAACAGGTTAAGATGCTTATTGACTTCTGTGCTCCCTGTCACATGACATTCCCTACAACCTGTGTGGAAGCTGATAATTACGCAGTTATTTAGAAGCGTTTGTCTCCAGGTTCTTTTATCTCCGTTAAAGAACAACGTGAACCTCGGCGAACCCAAAAGCCATGAATCAGGTCTTCATCTGACTGATTTTAATAACGAGCTTTGCTCCTGATAATGAAGTCAGACGGTCCTGACCCGATTACCCCGCTGAAATTAGAAATTTAATTGCATAAATTTTTCAGCTGCCGGAGTTGAGGCGGCATGGCGGCACAAATCTATTACCCACAGACTTACCCCACCCCTCCTGCTGATAAGCCCTTTTTTGGTCCGATGCTTACTTGGCAAAGGATGTCTCCTGTTTCGGGGCGATTGTCCTCCGTCTATCAGATGCAGCAGTCAGGGGAGGGTAACTTTGAGACAATTATTCTGCTGGGGTTGGTGTTAGCAGGCTGCTGGCTCGTAATACGTTCATGACAAAAATCTGTTTACTGTGCATTTTGAAGCCACTGATAATGAATTAAAACATGTCTTCAGGAAAACAGGATAAATAAAGCATATTAGTTCCAACTAATGTCCTGCAGTTTAAAAAGAAATTTAATTTATGTACTGTCGATTACCACTACATTAGAAAAAACAGCGTTTTTGGGTATTCCCTCCTCAGCTCTGAACAGGACCGTCTGGATGACTTAAGCTCTACAGGCCCGAGGACAGTTATGTGTATTTAATTTGTACGCTTGAACTTTTCCTTTTTAAGCCCCGGTGACCGGATGGAGAGTGGCAGAGAAATGAAAAGCAGCAGCTACCTTCAATGCGGCATTACCACTGAAAAGGTCAGAACTTTTTTTAAATATCATATTGAATTTGTGCCGTTGAGTAGTCCAGAGAAGTCTCCAGTGACTCGTTTATCTCCATCGTTTGCTGTAATCACCCATTAAACTGCCTTTCCCATGTGTTTTTTGTTCTTCAGCCAAGTTTATTTAAAGATGTTTTTCCCCTCCTCTCTAGGAACTGTGAAGCAAAAACTCATATTTATATCATTAATAACAGATTCTATGTTTGTTCCATTAATTTTAGTTCAAATCTAACATCAGTAGAGTTTACAATTATCTTTTTGCTTTTGGTCTGCCGTTTTCTTACAGTTTGAGTGGTTTGAAGTGTCCATGTTGACCTCAAAGCTTTTAAAGCTGTACTTTAAAACACAATGAAAGTGGTATTTACGCTGTCTGATGCCACCTTTCAGTGTGTTCTCAAACACTTTAATGAACCGTCTGATCCACAGTCCTCTGATCTACTTTCAGCAGGTCAAATCAGTCCAGCACAAGAGCAAAAACGAAATAAAAAGTATGCCGTATATGCTGTTTTGAAAAAAACGTAAGTCGTTAAGTTGGAAATTTGACTTTTGGTGGACTTTGTCAGGAATTTTGAAAGCCAGGCGAACAAAAAGTTACAAAAACTCAACCATTTTATGCTTTTTCAGTCCGTGGGCTTTGTGAACATGAAGGCTTTAAGAGGTGGAGTGCTCTTTTGTGAGGGTGGAGAAATGTTTTCATGTTACTTCACACAGTATTACCTCTGTTCCTGGAACATGACATGGTCACACTTTAGCGGAGGGGGAGTTGGACTTCAGCATGTTAATGATCTGCTTCATCTCCACAAAACCAGGGGTTCTTAACCTTTCTGACCTCGGGGCCCAATTTGTTGAACATAAAGTAACACGAGGCCCAGTCAGACATTACCAATGTATGGATCAGAATGATATTTATTATAAATCTTGTTTTAATTTTTATTGTATTTACATCATAACTAAACTATCATACCTAACATAACTAAATTAAATACACTTACAGTTTAAAAGTAAAACTGCCAAATTACAAGGCATGATCATGACAAACATTTTTATATTGTAACCTGCCCATAACAATTATTTGAACAAATACAAAGGTCAGTCAACAGACCACTCAGGCTTATCAGCACAAA